TTTTCATGTAATTTCAACTCTGACATCGAACAAGTTAACAGTACAAGCTGTCTCTTATACACATCTATAGACTCAAGACATTTTTGCTGCAAAAAATTTTATTGACTATATACAACTCGTTAATAGCCAGTCTCGGACATGAGAAGAGAACGACGGCCCAAATTCAAACAAAAGTGAAGGCATTGCGAGCCCAATACAAGTTGATAAAAGATCAGTTGAAGAAGAGTGGTTCGGGCACGTCTGGTGTAAAATCTTTGATTGCGATCCATCCAATCACACGCGCGTATATCTAATCCCGTGAAACAGAGTTGGCCAAACTCTCTCTTTACGGCTCTGCTGTTTCGACTTTCATAATTTGGAGGTCAATCCAACTAGTGTGACCGACCCAGAATTTCGAGCCTGGCTTGAAATCTCACCCGCGTTGTGTGACCGTAGCCAATATCGTATCACTGCAATTTTATTCAAATCACCCAATTTAGCCAGAAACTTACATAGGCCATGTCAGTTACAGTGGTGTATCTAGGGGAGGGCGCCCATAGTTTCCCCACCCCCTAAAAAAGAATCACGGTCAAGTAGTTAAAAATTACCTAAAATCACCACATTTTGCGAATTAGCGCCCCTCAACTGATCATCGATCCCCCTCCCCCCTAGATAAGCCACTGGTCAATTAGAGTCCATTATCAACAATTCATTACACATTTTGCGAAATACAACACAACACCGCGTGTTTAATTATATTCGAATGAAATGAATACAATAAAGTAATGATCAATATAAGCACCTGGACCTATTTTAAAATCATGTTAGATAAATTTATTATTATTATTATTATTATTATTATTATTATTCTTTTATTGCCAAAACAAGACGTTCACAAAACAATCCACTGGGTGGTCGGGCAGGACTTCGAAAGTGAATTTAATCGCTATTACATTAATTATGAAGTCCTCGACCACCCAGCTTCACAAAAAACATAACCATTAAAACAGAATATATTACAATACTGTAAGGGTCTATATAACTTATTTTTTTAACCTTATTTTTTTAATACAAATATAAATTGATCTATAAATTCAAATTCAGGGACTCCACCGATATAAAAATTTATAAGATTTGATTTAAATACAATATACAGAGTGTAAGTTTCATCAATTTCAGTACAAAAATTAAAAATAGCAGAAGATAAATTTATTTAAAAAAATTTAAAAAAAAAAAAACAAAAAACAATAATGAAAAAAAAATAATACAATAAAGTTATCATTAGGGGCCCACGATTGAAGCATCAATCCGATTTGCAATACATGTGGGATTTAAGTGAACACAAACATGAAGGAAAGGAGCCTAAAATAAGCATGTTTTTTTTTAAAGTAGAGGGCAATTTTTCCCACAGTCGAGGAAACTGGTTGATAACAGAAAGATGAAGACAATTAGTTCTAGAATAATGATGCTTGAATCGTAGGGTCTTTATAGACACTTTTCGATTTGAACGTCAACATAGTCGACGTCTTGACATGATGTCATATTCAAGCACTGCTCATGCGCGATCGTCAACCCCTCGCTCACACCAGATTTGAGAACGCGTTCACCCCGGTTCTCACTGTCGACCCAAATCTACTCGCCCTGTTGACTGTATGACGTCATTTTTTCAAGATGGGCGATACCGTACCCGCTGAAAGGATCTTACTAGGCCTAAGCAGAGGCCTAATTTTATGCAATTTTCATGTAATTTCATCTCTGACATCGAACAAGTTAACAGTACAAGTTAGCATTATACAAAAGCAAAAACTTTTCATCGTCAAGCACATTGCTGAAATATCCGAAGAGGATTGCTTCTCGGACTCTATGAAGATTCGCCATGATGGTAAGGCATGATCCTTGCTCAAAAAGTCATCAAAGAGAAAAAAACAAAACGCCATCATGTTGACTCCTCGTCAACTGAAATCGAAACTGAATTTCGACGGTGGATTACCATGAACAGTGAACACGTTGAAGGTCGCCTGCAATCGACGTGAACGTGCTCGTCGTTCACTCAATCGAAAAGTCCCTAATGAAGCCCATTAACAGAAGTAAAATAGCGAACACTCAAACAATCAATAAGAAGACACTTACAAACAAACGAAATAATTAAGAATTCTCTTTTTAAAGTTAGGGTAGGCCAGTTAAGTTGATTAAGGTGCATATCGCCTCTGCGCTGTTTGAGGACGAGACCTGTTATTATTAATATTATTATTATTATTATTATAATCACGCCTATAGGCTATTATTAATATTACTATTACTATTATTATTATTATTATTATTATTATTATTATTATTATTATTATTATTATTATTAGGCCCATTGCTATAAATATTAATGAATGAAATTTATTGACTAAAAATCTAAAAACATACCACCGGTTCCAGGGCTAGGCCTAGCGGAGTAGGTGGTACGTATTTATTCCTATGCCTAACGATCACAGGAGATATTTCTATCAATCCTGAACCAAACTAGAAAAAAGTCATGTGGTTATTATTTTAAACCAGTTAAATCAAACCAGAAAAGCCTAAATTGCTCGAGGTCAATGCGACTCTACATATGTTGATAACCATCCCTTGTCTTGTTTATCATTATAATTTTAGGACATCTTCTTTGTATTTTATTTATTAATGACCTGCCCAATATTATGAACGCGTTATACTTATGGCTGATCACAAATTTAGTTTATATACTTCTCTTGGTTGGTCTTTTCTTGGCGAAAGGAGAATTAAACATTTTTTCGCCTTAGTTAACAAATGCTCGTGAAAATACGCAGATGAGACTGTCCGTACTATTTACAATAATGAAGATTCTGCTATTTTACAAAGAGATTTAAACACTTTGGTGGAATAGGGTTATAAAAATAATTTGGCGTTGAAAAGTAAAAAGTGCAAAGTTATGCTATGAAAGAAAGTCATTGATAATGTATATAACATTAAAGAAGCAATATTGGAGTCTCTAAATATTTTTAAATACTTGGGACTGACAATTTCTTCTGATTTAAAGGTAAAGGAAAAGGTAAAGGTAGGAGAGTAACTCTTAACTTGCAGCGTCATTGTGCTGAATTGCGTATGGGCGTGGTCCGTGACTACCTAGCAGCCGTAAAGAGGCGCTTCTTTGTAGATACAGTACATGTTCACATCATTCCACAACGACAGGGGCTGAAATGAACCATGACATCGGGGTAACCCCCAACGCTGGGTGCAATGGGTTCTCTAAATTGCACACGAGCCAGATGTATACTGGACCTCCATTTTAAGTTCTTATCCGAGAAGACCGAACCATGGGCGAGGAGCGACTGGAACCAGCGCCGATGATAAGGCTGTAGCTGCCTTTAAAATGGAAGGAGGAAATTAAACATATTACTTTAAAATGTAAACAACTTAATGGTTAATTTATCATTTTAATTATTATTATTATTATTATTATTATTATTATTAATATTAATATTAATATTAATATAACTATTATTAATATTATTATTATTATTTATTTCTTGTCTTTCGTAGGGGTCACCCATCTTTATTGTTTTTTCCCTTTTTTTTAATCTACTATCATCTGTTTCTATACAACATTACAAAATATTTTGAGATTGTTCATAATGAAAAATAAGTTAATCAATCAATTAATCAATCAGTCAAACAATTAATAATTTACATCAATCAATCAACTGTCCTAGTCAATCAAAAAAAAAGTCATTTAACAAACCAGTCAACTATTCAGTCAAGTAATCAATATGCATTTCAAGATGAGTTACGGTATATAAGCCTAATCATCCAAAATTCCTTGGATTTGTAAAGAAAAGAATAATAGATTAGTAAGACCAATTAGTCGACTATTTGGTCGAAGGCATGTTATGTGCACCAATATACCCTTTGTATTACTTGCGGAATATTCATTTTATAGACTTTCGGTATAAAGTACAGTACCGCTTCATTGATATATTTAAAATTACTGTAATTTAATAATACATACATATATCAATTTAGTGCTGTTTTTTTTTTTATTGAGGTCAATCACGGACCACTTATTTTTTGCTTTTTCCCTGTTAATTAAAACGTAATCAATCTTATTAGTTCAAAAAATAACATCACCAATGAGGTTTTGTCCTCAGACCTAATCTATTCATTATTTTAACTTTACAAATACCGAAGATAAAAATTCAAATGGCTCCCAACTACGATTTTGTTCCATTGAACTTTATCATATATTTTAAAACATTTTCACAACAGTAATTCCATCCAACGATGCTTTATAAATCAAGCTGGTTGAATAAATTAAGCGATAAGATTGTATAATATTTTAGATATGCAGATGATTGATTAATTTATTAAAAAAGAGTTATCACTAAAAATATTTTTAGTTATTATATGAATTATTTTTCTATTGTTGATTTGTTTGAATTTAAGAAAAGTTTTATCCTCTAAGTGGCGAGTATATTTGCTATTGGAAATTAAAGAAACAAATGAAAGTGGGACGACCTCACAAAAGAGAGAAAAAAATATTTAACACCGTTTCTCCCGTATGTTTTTCCATGCTCTTGTCATGACCTAACATTTTTTTTAAAGAATTTTTAACGTTTTTTTAATTACTATTGTGGTATCTGCGGCGCTTAAACAGTATTAGTATTAGCTAATAACATACTTATCCACATGCAAATAGTAAAAGCATATGGAACGTCATTTTGAAAATGAGCCTCAGAAGGCAGCAACGGCGTTCCATATAATCACAAAAATGTTAACTTTTTATTTTAACAAACAACATACTTATCCACATTCAAATACGAGGCAAGACAAATATTAACTTTTGTTGTTAAATGTTAACATTGATAGTGATAATGTACTTAGTGACATTTTAGGTATATATTATGATGTGCTGTGTTCATGGTTACGGCTAAGCTACATGATTATTATTATCATTATCTAATCGTGGCTTCTTGTAGCCACATCGATATCAAGCGAACGGGCAAAGATCAGTTCTTCCATGGGAGTCTGATTTTAAGGGGGCTTGTTGGAAGTGGAATATTTCAATATTTTATTATTTGTTTTCGCTTGTATTTATCAAATTGCTATATTCTAGGTTTTCATAAATCAACAACACCGTGCCAACTAAATAAAGGAGTTTGTTTTCCGACAGGTAAGTGTCTAAAAACAATTTAAACTGATTTTCTTTTTTTTTTAATTTGCAACATATACATACGGGATACATATTCATGAAAGTAAATGTACAAAAATAAAATTCAAAAAGCATACTAAAATTGATCTGCAATATGGTCCTGATGAAAAAAATAATTAAATACCAAAGATAAAATAATTAAAACAAGGACAACTATAATACTTATTCTTACACTAAAATACAAACATGGAAAAAGATTCAATTAAACAAAAATGTGTCTTTTAAAATTTGATTAAGGTTGTAAAGTGTATTAACAAATCGATAGAAATATAAGAACAAGTTAAAAAATTAAATCATATTTTGTAGGTATTAATAAAGTTTTGCCGCTAGTAAGTCAATATTTACAAAATTGAATGAAATATTTTAAAATGCAATCTGTTTATACATCTTTTCACAAATAGGCTATCGATAATTTTAGCCTCTTGCAAAATCTGAGGTAAATCATTCCATCAAAACCGTGCTCCAGAGATTGGATGATTTTATTATCAAAAAAATGGTACAAGGTAAAGTTAAAAAGAATAACCCACAACTCGCTGTGTCATTGACGTAATAGCCGCCGAAGAGAGGCACTTACGGTAGCTACATGCTCACATCATTCCACAGCGACAGGGAGCTAAAATGAACCATAGCATCGGAGTAACTCTCTACTCTTCCGAAAGATGCAATGGGTTATTTGAAGTGCACACGTTGAATTTTGTTGCCTGAGCAGGGGGTTGAGTTTGGGATGGGGTGTCCCCCTCCCTACCTACTGTAAGATGCCATTTAAAGGTTTTGAATTGTGTTGCAATGTTTAATTTTAGAATCTATTGAACACTATTTCTAACTAAAAATCCAACAGTCAAACATTTTTTAGGTTAATTTAATTTTCAATAACAATAAATAAATGAAGAGCACACCATACACTATTTGTACTGTAATTATGTATTTTCTTTCACAGTGTTTCTTTTAAAACTATTTACATTCAATTGCAGTTCAGCAATCTAATTCTATCTACTTAGTAGTTTTCTTACTTTCATCTACATAACAGCTAATACTGTGCCTTTTCTCAGGCAGGTATTTTAATATACCTTTGCAAATATACAAAAAAAAAATTATAACAACTTCTATTTATAATCAAAAAGGCAAAATACTGAAAAAACAATGAGATACAAAATTGGTAATCAAAAGCTAAAATTTAAACTTAAAAGTTTCTTTCAGTCGTGACGTTAATAAAATGGGTTTAAAACAGCTATTAACACTCGTAAATAGAGTATACAACTTAGACACTTAAAAATAGAATAACATCGTTCCACCTTGATCGTTCCACCTTGATTAAAAATCAGGTATAGTATTGCTTCTTATATGTTTGTATTTGAAACTGTGTTTATCATTGAAGACTTGCTGATCATAGTAATTCAAAGTCTTTAAGCATTATGTGCTCCATAAATACTTCTTATTCGTATTCTTATTCTTAATCGTATTATTATTATTATTATTATTATTATTATTATTATTATTATTATTATTATTATTATTATTATTATTATCATCATCATCATCTCCAACAGGAGATAGGCCTATATGTTTTCGTTTCGTGTGTTTGGGTGCGTGTGTGTGTGTGTAACGCGTTGCTGTTTCAGTTCTTTTCTTGTGTACAAAAAAATTTTTAAAAATGGCTGCATATATGTAAATTAGGTATGACCAAGGACGAGGTGATTAAATTTTGTTGACTGTCCGGGTTAGAGTGTGGTTGTGAGGACCTTGAAAGGATTTTGTCCTAGACAAGATATCTCAAAAACTAATCAACTGACATATTGAGTGAAACTTTCATAGTTTAAAGAAGTTACAAGGAATAAATTATCAAGCGGTGGTCACGATCCAGATTAGGGGGTGAACTTGAGGGTTATCTAAAATTTTGTGGTCCTGTGTGTTTCTTGTGTAAAAAATATCTCAAAAACAGCAGCATTGGTTTAAATTCCAGTTACAGTGATTGTTTGGTATAACCCAACGATGAGGTGATTAAATTTTGGTGGCCAAATGAAAACGTCACAGCTCAGATATTTAAAAAGGTTATCAAACGATATGATTGAAAACTTCTTGAAAGGTTTAACCGAGTTAAAGTGAAGAAATTGTGAAGTGTTGGTGACGATACAAATACGGGGTACATGTGAGGACCATCAGGACCCACACCTAAATATCTCTTGATTGGATCAATGGTTGAAAATGACACTTTTCATGGTTTTCATGTTTTAATAAAGAAATGTTTAAATTTTGGTCACGATCCGACGTATGATGTGAATATGAGGACCATTAAAAAAAAAGTTACCGTATTACCCGTAGGCTGAAACAATAGCTATATTATTATCATGATTATTTAAATCAGTACAATTACAGTAAATGTGTACAGCGTTCTATATGTACTAATTTCCCAATTTTGGGAATACTTTTAGTGCATCTTTACATTTTAACACGTGACTCTAAATCCAAATCCCTATATTTCTCTTTCCATAATACTTTCATTTCAACACCAATGCATTGCATGCATTTTCTTTGTCAGCTATTAAAGGGTAAAACGTGCAAGTATGTTAGATCAGAACGTGAAGGAATTGGCAGGTGTAAAACTGATAAAAAGGCGTTCGAAAAATGAAGTGATTGTATTTTGTTGCCGATAGATATGCACCCTTCAAAGCAAAACGTCGCAGATCACAAAAACTAATTAACTTATCTAAGTTAATTATTATTATTATTATTATTATTATTATTATTATAATGAAAGCACAAGGAAACTGCTTTAGGATTCTGTTTTCTGTTTTCAATCTTATTTTAATGTAGATTTGTGAAGCATCGCTATGCAGGCAAATACTGGATTTATTACGGTTATCCAGCAACCTGTGACCGAAACAGTAACGCTAAAATTTCGCCATCCCATTCAGAGGAACATTGTGAAAGCCACCGCCATAATCCAAATTGTTTTTGGCTTCATTTGTATCGGTTTGGGAATCTGGATATCTGTGCAACGAGCCAACCCACTAATTCAAAGTCAAACCGGAACCGCTTCTCTTTCTGCTTTAAGTGCATGTGTAAGTATCATTTAAAGTGATATTGAGATGTTGTTGCTATCCCTTTAAAACAGAATCATCCCCCGGGACCGGGGTTCACCCACTTTTTAAAGATTTTTTGTTCATAAGGTTCATTAATTACAAGGTTTGCAGTTATCAAATATTTGTTCTGGATTATGACAAACATACCCTTATATAGCACAATGTATGACTTGCGAGTAGACAGCGACAAGGTTTTTTTTCTCTCTTTTCTTTCTTTTTTATATATTTATTTATTTATTTATTTTTTGTAGAATCATGCATACGTATCAGAGAAAATAAATTTATTCTGGATTTAATAAAATAGTTTTTTCTTTTTGTTAATCCAGTTGTCAATTTTTATAAGTAAATGCTGTTTTTACTTACGGACTTGACATGTTTCGCCTCTTGGCAAAAGGCATCGTCAAAAATGAAGCGATGTCAGCTCGGACCCTCCGATGACGTTTCACCACCTTTTTTTCGCTTGGGTTTATCCAGGAGAGGGTGCCTGCATACTGGACCTTGTGAAGTGCCCCCTCCCCATATTCAAAAACGTTCCCCCACCGTTGCGCTGGAGCAGTGAGTGTCCACGTGTGATTTGTGTTCTTTTATTCTGGTTTAGATTTTTTTTTTTGCAATTGCAACAGTCTACTTTCTAGACTATACCACTGCAATCATCTATTATAACTTTATCTTTAGGATGTACCAGTTGATTTTGTAATTTGTTCAGTGGGATGAAGAATGAGTTCCCTGTGACTGCATAGGACTCTCCTCAATCTTTCTGATAGTTCAGGTATATACGGGATCCCAGCGCTTCCCCTAGTTTTTCCCAAGGTCTGAGTTTCTTTTGGTTTTTCCCCCTTTTCTTAATTCTTCTTTTTCAGTATTTTGTTAATTGACCAGTTGGGGTAGTTAGATGTGTTTGAGAAACATGTCAAGGCCTTAAGTAAAAACAACATTTACTTATAAAAATTAACAATGGAATTAACAAAAATAAAAAAATTCAAAAACATACATACCTATTTATTACGTTTTTGTAAAAAAATTAACCTTGTGCTATCGTTAGTTTCTAATATATCATAACGAAACTTACACAAAGTTCGCAAATGATAACGTTCTTTTGTTGTGTGTAACTTGTAATATAATCGTGTAACTATAATACATAATCATCTTGTACAATGTACTGTATTAGGTGTTATACCAAAAAAATCTTTAACTTTATTGGAGAAAACCAATATTTCGACTTACCTTCATGTCTTTATAGCATAAAAACCTGAGGATAGTTCGAAATATTGGTTTTCTCCAATAAGGTTTATACATGGTATTCGTTTTCTATATTATTTGTCTGCCAATGACACACAGCTAAGTGCACAGGTAGTTAATATTCATGAT